TAAGACGATCTCAGATTGGCACAAGATGGGACTGAATTCTACCACTGACCTGAGTAAACTAAGAAATGGGTTCTCCCCCAGGTCCTCCAGAAGAAAACACAGCCCACCAGCCCTTAATTTTGACCCTTTGAGACTCAAAACAGAAAAAAAACAGCCAACCTACTGGGTTTCTAACTTACATGAACTGATACAATGAATCCAGATTGTGTTAAGCCTCTGAATTTGTGGAAATTGTTACTGAAGCAACAGCAAACTAATATGGGAGAATTATCAAACACTGTTGAAACCACCATAATTATGCTCTTAATAACAGTGCTAGTGCTAATAATTTTTTTAAGTGAATGTTCTTACTTTGAAAGAAGAATAATTACTGGAACCAAAAGAAAATTCTAGATTTTTCTTTATTTCTTCAGACCTTAATCTCCAAAATGCTAACTCAGGCCTAGGTTTAGTCTTTGTCAGATGCCTGCTTTCCCTGTTCATTCACTGTGGAAAACTAATATAAGTTTTCCAGGGCCTCACTAAGGCCACTTTTCTCACCAATGACCAGCTCAGGGTTTGTGACTAACATTTTTCTGCAGTTCTCAAGTGGGTCAGAGCTTGTACTGTCTCAGGAAAAGGTGTCCATCTTTAGCAAGACTTCTCAGGACTGCAAACAGAAAATGCCCAACAAGAAGAATCTGAAGTGGCAAAGGCTATTTCAGAGAATAGTCTTTCTAGTCTTATTTTCAACAAGGTCAGTATAATTTTTGCCAATTTTTATAGCATTATGATTATTATAGATGTTCTCTTACCAAGCCTTCACAGAGGTAAAGCATTTGAGATTGTTTTTTCCACTACTCCCCACAGCCCAATGTCTATAAAATCAAAAGTCTATAAGTAAGTTAAATATATCAAAGTGGAGACTGGAGTGATAGCTCAGTCAATAAAGTGCTTATCACACAAGCATGAAGACCCAAGATGAATCCCTAGCATCCACATAAGAAGCCAGGTGTAATGGTATATCCTTTTAACTCCAGGACTGGAGAGGTGGAAACAAGTGGATCCCTAGGTTTCACTGACCAGCCATGCTAGCCAAATCAGCGAACTCCATGCTCAGTGACAGACCCTGCCTCAAAGAATAAGGTAAGCAATGGAGGAAGGCACCCAACTTCAATCTCTGGCCTCCACACTCATGTGCACACATATCACCCACACACAGAAGGTGGGGGAGAGAAAGAGAGAGAGACAGAGACAAAGAGAGACAGAGAGATGCAGAGAATATCAAAATAAAAACTTCCAGATTCAACAAAGAGATCAATAAATATTTCAATCATATAGTAAGGCCCTAGAAAGTACAAGGAAGCAAAACATGGATGTTCCTTATCTCTATACATGGCTTACAATGTTATTAGATACATGATCAAAATAATTGCAATATAAGGAGAAACATGTATGATCATATACAAAACAAACCTGCCAGTAGTTCAAAGTAAAGAGACATTGTTTGTGGCTGGGAAGGTCATGGGGGAAAGGCTTTCCATGAAGCTAAAAAAATAAAAAATAAATCCAGGAATGGCGGGATGATTCCTCCAAGACTGCACATTTTCTTTAGAAATCTAGAAATCCACCTGCAGAATCTCTCTCTGTGTTAACATATACCTCCAGAAGATCTGAATAGGATTTTTTTTTTATAAAGAAAAAAAAGAAAAAGAAAAAGAACACAGTTTCAAAAATAAGAACTCCTGGGATTCTGGGTTGGAACTAAGAGCTCACTCCACCCAATTTCCTTCTTTACTTGTCTCTGTTGAGAGTGAAAGTGACTATATTTCTGGATGATTCTAGTTTCTTCGGTCATCCTCACCATGTACCCACCAGAGATAGTCTCTCTATATAATTGAGCCATGTGTGCTGCTGCCACCTTGGAGACTTTCTACCTGGTGTTTAAGTGTAATACAAGTTTCCAGAACTGTGCTTAGTCTATTATTAATTCAGAACAGGAAGGGTTCAAGCCCAAGCCAACCCAAATCTCAATACTTATCGGCTGGCAGTGTTCTAATCTATATACTCATTCACAGGAAGATGCATAAAACAGCGTTCATAGCAGCACCATCCAGACTAGCCCCATAGAAGCTAAGCTAGCCAACTATCTTTCAACAGTTAGTGGGCCTGGTGGCAAAAACCTGTAATCCCAGCACTCTGGAGACTAAGGCAGGAGGATCATGAGTTCAAGGCCAGCCAGAGCTACAAAGCTAGACCCTGTCTCAAAAACAAAACAAAAAACAAAAACAGAACAAAACAAAAAACAAACCACCTAGTGGATAAGCTGGCATAGCCATATGGTAGAATACTACCAAACAAACTAGACGAATTTGACAAACATAATGTTGTAATTTGTAATGCTAGTTGCCAGAAACAGAAAATCTACTGTAGGGTTTTATACATACAAAGTTAAGAAAACCAAGAAAACTAATGTGTGGTACCAGAAGTCAGAATATTGGTTACCCTGGGATTTTTAGAGACTGAAGGGGACACTAGAGCGACCTCTAGGATACTGAAAATGTCTCTTGGTCTGAAAACTGGTTATAGGGAGCCTTTATTTTGAAAAGTGATCAAGCTATACACTAATTGTTAAGACTTCTACTTGACACTTTAAGAAGTTATCTTTAAAAAAAATAGTTCATTATATTCAAGAACTATATACAGTAGGTTGAGCAAAAATCACTTTACAATTGAAGTAAAACATGCATGTATTCACATCTATAATTTTTGTTTATATTTTTATTTAAGTGTGAGCTTATTTTAATTTAGTCAATATTACATACATATATTTAGATTGGGAATAAGTAGGTACTCATAGCAATAATTCTAAAATTAATCATCTCTGCTTTGCCTGTCCAGGATGATTTATTACTGTGCTTCATTGGTCCTGGTAGAAGAGGAGGAAAGAGGGGAAGGAAGAGGGGATGGAGTGGAGGATGGAGAGTAGAGGCAGCAGGTGCCAGAGGTGGTGGGGAGAGAGCTTCAGGCCCTCAAAGCTCAGGAGAGGGAAAAAATATCACCAGGTCACCAGAACCTTTTCTGTACAAATTTTAGTTTAAAAAACTGTTACAAGGCAAAAGGTCAGGACTAGATGTCCCTAGCAAATGCCACTGTGTGCCATGCCTCACTTGGGAAATATCAGATCAGACTGCGGTGAGATCCTGGCTGAGAAGTGTAACCCCAGGAAGCCACTAGATGCTCCAGACTGCCATGGACATATCACTACTCTTTATATACCAATAACTATAGAATTTATTTCCTCATCAATAATTGTAGCATACATCTTTTCTGCAAGTTAATATTAGGCAAAGAGAAAACAAACACCTTCCCTGCCCTTGTAGGTCAGATATGAGAATGAGTGATTGTCCATCCACCTAGAATTCAAAGGTCAGGGTTTCCTGATGACTGTGAAAACTGGGAGGGAAGGAGTAGTCAGGAGAACTGCCCTCTTAAGTGAGGTACACAATGAAGCCCCCAGGCCAGAGCTTGGTCTCTGATCCCCTAGTGTGGAGAGTGTCCACTAACAGGTACAGTTAGTACCTGCTGGTTGGAGGGCCGTCTGCAGGGACTGCTGCAGTCAACCTTGGCAAAGAGGCTGGGGACAGCCTGGGTTAAGAAATGTGGGTCCCGCCCGGCATGGCCCACGCCTTTAATCCCAGCACACAAGAGGCAGAGGCAGGCGGATCTCTGTGAGTTCAACGCCAGCCTTGTCCCCAGGACAGCTGGGGCTACAGGGAGACCCTGTCTCAAAAAGACCAAAAAGAAAAAGAAAAAAAAAGAAAAAAGAAATATGGGTCCCACACTTAAGAAAGGCTGGGTGCCCTTTGGCTAAACTCTCAGAAAATTGTCACCTGTCAATCCCTTGACCTAAATATAACAGTCACTGGTGGAATGAGGGGGAGGGGTTTCGTCTGAGCATGCTCAGTGATGGAGATGACATCACTTAATCAATGCTAGGGACAGGAAGGCTGCATCAGCAGCCTGGAGCAGGCTGCCAGGAACGTGTCAGTGGGGACCAGGCTTACATTAACTTGGTCCCTCCCCACGCGGCTCGAATACAAAGGGGGCACCGTGGGCCACACTCTAGGGACAGCGAACAACGAAAGGGGGGTAGGGCCAAAGTTGATTTATTTCATTTGATACATTCCCCTAAGAACTAAACACCACTAGTAGTCCTTCCCACTTCCAGCAGCCCGTGCTGCAAGGGGAGCTAAGTTGGGGGAGGGGATGTGGGGAGCAAGGCTGGAAAAGGATGATCAAGAGGGAGACCCTAGACATACTAACTTCGGCTAATGACACAGAAGAGCTGCTCGGCGACTCCCTTGCTCAGCAAATGAGGACAGTCTTCTCCCCGCCCAGAGCAAAGCATAAGAGAGGGGCTGCGGACACCCGGGAGGGAGGACCTGGGAGGTGGCGGGTGTCCAGCAAAGAAGGGCTTACATCCAGGGCAATTTGGAGTGACGGACAGCAGGAGACACCCAGGCCTCCCGAGGACACCTAGAGCTCCACTGTATCCACCACCTTCCGCACACAGAGCAAGGTGAAACCGCTCCTCCAAGGCCCAGGAGAGGTTTTTTTTTTTTTCTTGGACCTTTTTCCTATCCTGTTGGCTACGGTCTTGAGAAGAGATGAACAGATGCCTGCAAGCTTTGGTGGGTTGTAGAGCTTATACTTTTAAGGGAGGCCTGGGCACTCCGGCTTGGGGGCAACTAGGGAACACTGCCCACGCGGCGGCTAACGTGGAAACAATAGGCCCACCCCGGCCCCCACCCGCGAACAATGGCGGATCCGGCCCTCGCCGGTCTTCGCCACCGCCCGGAGGGAGCCACCGGGCGAGGGCTCTCACGCGCTCGCGGGTCCACCCGGGAGCCCAGGCCCGCGGGGATGTCCGAGAGGGCGGCCCAAAGAGCGCAGCTCTGTCCCCGGCGCCCGGCTGCGGCGCGAAGTCAGAGGAAGGGCGAAATGCCCTGGTCACTTACCCCGATCACCACCGTCTCATCGCCTTTGAATTTGGGGATGAATTTGTCCCCGCGGAGGATCTCCGCTTCGTTGAGGGGCCGGAACCGGCACATCACTTTGATGCTGCATTCGGCTGGATCCGCCATCTCGAGCAGGAGGGGGCTCGGGGATGGGTCGGGGGCCCGGCTGGGCAGCACGACGGAGGCAGCGAACCGCCGCCCGCAGCTAGGCCGCCTCCCGCAGCCTCCCGCAGCTTTTCAGCAGGTCATCGCGAGCCCAGCAGCGAGGTAGCTCCAGCACCGGGAAGCGAACTGCCTCTCAGTCTTGGGACCTGCGGGTTGCTGACCTCCTGCCCTACCCTGCCCTGCCCCTCCAGCCCACCTGCCTGGAACCACGAGACGGGCAGGCGGATGAGGAGATGCGCAGGGAGCGAGCCTCACCCTGCTCAGACCTCCCGGGCTCCTGCATGCTCAGCCATCCTGCATCAGCACCAGCGCGGTCCGCCACCTCCCGGCCCTCCCCTCCGCCCTGCCTTGGGACGGTGACGTCACTGCAGAGATCCGCCCCGCCCCGCCCCGCCCTGGGTCTGAGCGCATCGCTCCGCGGGACTTGTAGTCCCTCAACCTGCAGGTGAGAAGGCAGGATGCTTCGATGGGCCTGAGGACAGCAGCCGTGCTTTGTTTGGTTGAGACCCCAGAAAGCTGCACCATAAGCCAAGAACAAACTGTAATTCTAGTCAATACCCTCAGTTAAAATCTCTATAAATAACCAAGTCTGCATCATGCGGTCACATCTTTTCCTGATCCCGAAAAAAAATTACTTCTTAACACAGTGTACAACTGAACAGCTATTGAGCGTTTTCTCTGTGTTGAGAGTTTTGCAAGGGTTATAAGGAGAGCAGGAAGGAAATGGGATTTGCGTGATTATTTTGAAAGCGAGTTATACCTAAAAATTCCTGTACATAAATAATTCATAACTTCTGATAAAAGTCAGGGACCAAAACCAACACACACACGAGAGAGAGAGAGAGAGAGAGAGAGAGAGAGAGAGAGAGAGAGAGAGAGAGACAGAGACCATGTTATTTCAAAGATTGAAGAAACATCTCGACCTCATGTGGTGGTGCATGCCTGGAGTCCCAACATTCAGAAGGCAGCTTGGGACACACAAATATATCCTGTTGCAAAAGGTGGGGGCAGAATAGGACCTCTCAGTTACTATTAATCATAGATCCATTTTCAGAACCTCTGCAGAATGAACAAAATATATACAAGTCCAAGCCCAAAGTTCTTTACAGAACATACCCAGGCCCCAATGATCACATTTCTTCCTATTTATTTAGCCTCCTCCCTTATAACTTCTTATCTTGATGTTTACAATCTGACAAATACCAAGCTTCTGACTTCCTCCATTCAACTTGCCCTACTTGCTCCTGATATTGGTTTAAGTCATTTACTCTGCCAGATTCATTCATTTGGGCTCATTAGTAAGTAAAAGCATTAGGGATCTTATGGAAATTGATAGGAACAAGACAAGGGCCACTGGAGCAAAAGGAGAACTTATCAGAATACAACTGATCTTACTTATTCACAAAGCAACCAACCAAGCTGGAGAAAGGACAGGCTACCAAGATTCTACATTATAGATGGTTGTCTCCACATGCTGACCTTACTCTTACTCAAGATCGATCCTTACATATCAGGAAACCTGCCTACAAACAGCCTGTGGGTGTCATTCTTCAGCTTAGCAAAGGATAGATGGTTCTTCAATGTTTTAGTTTGAAAACTCCTCATGAGTGGCCTGGGCTTAGGCTGGTATCTACCTCTAGAACCATAGAGTCAGAAACTTTATAAGACCATGAAGGAACCTAATAGTGAGAAGAAAGAAGAAAGGATGGAAGAGGAAGAAGGGTGCTATTCCCTCAGGAGTGTGGTACCATGCTGGCAGAACAACTGGGGAGTGTCTGCTCTGCCCTGCTAGCTCTACCTTTTCAAATCCAATACTCAGTACAAGACTCCTTCCTCAGGAAGACATCCCAGATTACCTGCGGTTGATTGACCTTCCTTGTGCATCCTGTTATCTGTATCACTACATCTGAGCAACAAGTACTGCTCGGCTTTGTGTCTCCAGTGTGGAGTGCAGCATAAGAAGCTTGCTGAATAAGGGCTTCCTGTAGAAGGAGGCTTCCCTGGCCTGAATCCCACCTCTGCCAGCCATGGAAAGGTCCACAGTTGAAAGTTCCTTCAGATTCAATTTCCTCAACTTTGTCTTTGGAATAATAATATAATCTCGGAAATTTTGAGCAAATTAAAAGAAGTATTACTTCTAGAGCATCTAGCATGGTGCCTGATGACATAAACCCCAAATTTTAGATGGTGTTATTCTTATTGGATGCTGAATAGCTGATTGCAAATAATATTTTTTTTTAAGTCTGGAAGCACAGCTTTTGCTTATGTCTAGATATACCTGGTAACACAAGCTTTCTGCTTAGCTGAAAAGACAGACCCACTGAAGTGAAATTTTCTAAACCATTGTAAGCAGTACCAATTTGATTATCTATCCTCAAATAGAAATAAGGGTTTTTTAATCTCTAAGGCAGTACTTAAGTATGAAATTCTCAAAACTAAAAACAAAAATTAATCTTTTATAAGCTCTAATGCTGCTTTCTCATCTATTTCCATACTAAGTAGTTCTCACACTCTGGCTCACAGATCAACTTCTGGTAAGGTTTACATGTGGTTTGTTCTTTCAAAATCCAGTGTTACAATTTGGTTGAGAGACAGTGGGGCATTTAAGAGGCAACCAGGCCATCAGAAGATATTCATACCTTTGTCACAGGAGTGAGTTCTTGCTCTAGTGAGACTAGATTAGTTACACAGGAGTGGTTTATTATGAAGCAGGTTCAGCTTCCTCTCATCTTTCTTGCTTTCTCTTTCATTCACTATGCGATCTCTTCCACAGGTGTCCACTGCTTCATCTGCTTTCCCACCATGTTTGAGGCAGCAGATGGCCCTCACCAGAAGCCAAGGAGGAGCCAGTGCCATGCTCTTACGTCTCTAGAACCATGGGATAAATTAAACCAATTTTTAAATAAATGAATCAGTCTCAGAGATTTCATTACAATAACAGAAAGCAAACTAAAACTTAATAGTATACTGGAAAGAATAGCCCAGTTCTAATTTCCTTGTGCCCACAGAATGCTCAGAACTCCACATACACTGGTTTATTTAAGGAGCTTGCGTATCGATGGGCTCCCTCTTCACTCATTATTCCATCTATCCAACCATCTACTATTAACTGAGCAAATAGCATTTGTTTCTAATCTCTAAGTAAAGGTTTATTATATAAAGCTTTATCAAGGAGATTATCATAGAACTCCTATTTGAGAAAGGGGTCAGAGAATAACTCACTTCCCTCAGACAACCTAGAAAAAAGTCACAATACAGAGGATGAAGTGCTCAGTGTGATTGAGAAGACATAATAGTGGAATTGGGCTAAGTAGGCTTCAAAAAAAAAAATGTATAAAGACCACCAAAAGAAAAGAAACTAGAGAAAATTTGATACATTAAGTACATCAAAATTTAAAACTTTTGTGGTCACTGAGATTACTCAGTGGATAAAAACACTTGCTACAAAGCCTGACAGCCCTAGTTCAATCCCTGGGACCCAAATGGTGGAATGAGAAAACCAAATCCTAGAAGTTGTTCTCTGACCACCATACATGCACCATGATGTTGCAGAAATTTCTGATAGTCAAGAGACCAGTAGCCAAGTCAGGTGAAGGAGAGGGAGTTTATTCATGCAGGCAGGCTGACACCTGGATCATTCTATAATAGCACCAGTCCCGAGCTCAAGTTTATAGGGAAATTTATAGTCACCTTTAAGCAAGCAAGTAGGGGGTTCCAGAAATATGTTTAGTGGTTAAGCAAGCGGTTACACATAATCACATGATTACAAAGGTCACAAGAATGTAGTAGTTTGGGAAAAAAAGATTTCAATGGGGGCACATGGTAGTTAAGCGTATAACAAACCTTAAAGGGCAGGGCAGATTTCCATTTCCTCGTTCTCTTATCTCATCTTGGGACCTTCCACAGTTTAAAGTTCTTAGCAGTCATCTCATTGTTAGTGAATTTTTATTGCCAACACATTTCCTCTCCTTCATCAACATAATCCCTTATTCTAGAAGAATTGTCTGATACTCCTGGCAAATCACCTGGAGCTTAATTGCCTCTATCTCATTTTGGAAAAACTTGGGAAGCAAGTTTATCAAATAAGGCACAAACAAGAGGGCTAGAAGGACCATGGACTTTTGGCCCCCAGTATTTCAGGTACTTTTTCAATAAGACTCATTACCCTGGAGTCAGTACGGGTTTAGGGGAGGGGGAGATGAGATGAGCTGGTCAGTCCAGTCCTCATTCCAGGTGTCCAGGTCCATCAAAGTTCTGGTCATGTCCTCAGCATGTCTTTCAGGATCACGGTATTACTTTGGGGGTAAAAAAGAGATATGGATAAACCAGACCCCCTTATTGGTATCCAAGCCTCTAGCTATGGCAGAACTAGAGATATCTTTGGATTGGGTAGTACTGGTATTGTTAGCCTCCGATAGGGACAAGTTTACTGGCAGATCAAGAGAATTTCCAGCTCTCAGCTGAGAAAGAAACTGGTCATTTTTCTTTTGAGGTCTTCACCCTAAGACTGCTTAGCCAATTTCTACCTCCTGCTATCATTACTCTTTCCTCTGAAGAGATCACCCTATTTACCAATGGGGAATTGGGGTGCCTACCACTCTGGCTTCATACATGCTGAATAGAAGCACAGAGTGTGGCAACTGGAGCACCCCTTCAGCGGGCCTACCTAAAAGACCCCAAAAGTGTATAATTGTTAGCTATAGAGAGAAAAGAAAGTCCTTGAAGGGTGCCTAGGAAGAGATGTGAAGGAGAAGTAAAGGCAAGAGTAGTAAGCATTCTAAGTTCTAGGCAGGGGACCAGGAAAAGTCAGAACAGAGTGAATTTTAAATGTCCAAAGCAAAGTCCATTACAGTTTCTTGATGAGGGCTTCCAAAATCATCCATCTATTGGGTTTTCCTCATTTCTCTTTTGGCCACCATGAGAGTGACGAATTCAGGATCTGCTTTCAGGAACTTTGATGGCTAGACTCGCAGTATGAGTTCCCTCCCAAATGGCTTCTAGACAGGGAAAGAGAAGAAATTTAACCATCATTTAGTTTTTAGATAAGAACAATAGTGGACTTGTCTTTCTTGGCAGCAGGTAGGCATTGCAGTGTTGAACTAAAACAAGATATGAAGTCTTATATCTAAGTAACTTTTTTTTATCAAGGAGAAAATTTTTCTATATGAATTTTAAGCCTAATGTCTGGGAAGCACAATTCCTCAGACTTTAAAAGAAAAATACTGATCACTTTAATCTTTGGTTATACTTTCTTTTCTTTTTGAGTGTTTAAGACCATACAGTTGGCCCAAATTGACCAAGTTTTTTCTCAAGGTC